GGAGGTGGGAGGCCTGAGTTCAAGGCCTGGCTCTGCTTCCAGTTCCGGCTTCCCCCTAATGCACAACCTGGGAGGCTGCTGGTGATGGCTTGAGTACCTGATCCCTGCCACTCCCGTGGGAGAGTCAGATTTTTCTCTGGACCTCAGCCTAGCCAATCCTTGTTTGTTGCACACTTTTGCGGAGTGAACCAGCAGATGATTTCTCTGTCTCTGGTTCTTTGCCTTTCAGATAAATAAAAGAAAGTAAATTCTTTAAAAATACAACTTTGGGATGACAATGATATTAAAGAATTTGCAGAGACAGAAGGACCCTGAAAAGGTCCTGGAAGAGCAATATTGGTGAATGAATGCAGAGGGGAAAATTCCAGAATATTCAGATGAATCAGCCTAACTACCAAGCACTAGGGGAGTTCTTAAATTAGATTATGGATTACAATCCACACTGGGTTGCAATGGAGCTATTTTTTAAAAGTGATGTTACTGGGAAGATTATATGGATTAAAATACTTAACATGTTAGCTATAAATAAAAACAGGTTAAAAATTGTATGTTTCCTTAACAAATAGAATTACATAATATGTGAACATTATTTCCTTATCAGTTATAGATTTTTGGACAGTTTGAACAAAATATGCAAAAATGAGCATTTTTAGAAGAGGAACATATTGAGTGAATTGGTTGGTGGTTGGTGAGTGGGCTGGTTGAGTTTAGGGGTGAGCCTTGGCTAGGAAAGGAAGACAGTGCACCCACTAATTCACTGCTAGTTTCTGAAACGCAAGCAATGAGAAGGTGCAGATGACGTTTCATGCGAATTAGGTGGGACGCCTGCAGGGACTCAGGCTGGGAAGCAGTGCTGGCTAATTCTGCATTCAAGGCCCATGACCGCGATTGCTCACTGCCTGCCCTCTCTCCTTCCTCTCTTTGTGTGGTTTGGGTCTTCACTGCCTGAAGGCTGAGTGACCAAGAATTCTTCCCTGTCCATGATGGAAGAGCTGGTTGTTCCTTTTCACGCCGTTCTTTTAAAATGGAGGACAATGTTTGCAGCTTCTCACAAAGGGCTTTGAAATCTTGTCATGGAGAGGACTCCGTCACCCCTGGCTGGTAGCTGGTGTGCAACCTGTTTGCTAATAAACCGGAGCAGGACCCTGATGTCAAAATGCTTAAAATGGTCAAATCAGCGGGGACCCCCTTTCTGCATTTGACATGCCTTTTCCATTTCCCTGCCTCGTGCAGAACGTAAACCTGAATCGAGAGGCGGCTCAGTGTGAACTCTTATAAATTGGAGTGAGCACCTAGGGACCAGGGAGCAGACACTTCTTCTTTTAACCTTTGAAGACCAAGAATCATTTGGCCAAAAATCCACCATGTATTGAACTTAAGGTGTGAAAGCCATGCAGTGTATTAAATGTGAATTTGAGACCATGAATTCTGCCCACACTGACTCTGTAAAACAGCCTCCCTTTTTCATAAAGCAGCACCATAAACCGCTGCCAGCCGAGCAGAAAGACTCCTTAGGACTGCGGCTCGCTTTCCGTCTGGGGTTGTCAACAAACCCCCTTTATGAGTGGAATAGACCCCTTGTATGTGTCGAGCTTCTGGCTTTTTACGGAGTGTGTTAGGAGCCAGCCTCGGCAAACGTTAGGCACTGTTTGCTGAGTGCATTTATTGCCTTTGCATAATTTATGAGCTGGAGGGGTTGACCATCATTCGTCTCTGCCAGGGGCTGGCACTCGAGGCTCCGGAGAGCGGAGCTGTAAATTGGATGGTGCGCTCCTGCTGAGCTCACGGCAAAGTCCTCGGGTCAGTATGGGAATTTAATACCAGAAATGGAACTGTTTTCTCAGCGCACCATGTGGGCCCCAGTGCAGCCGAGACTGTTTTGGCAGACTCTGCGACTGGCCCTGTCGAGGAGCTGTCACTCACGCGGCATGTTGTGCGGGGAGCCTGAGCATTTTAATCGGCTTGGCATCCGTGCTGCTTCCATAATGGATACCAGTAGGTCTCAGTTCTTCACCATATGCTTAACTCTGGAGACAAGGTGCTTCTGGGTATATCAGTAATTACTTGATGCAGAATTAAGTGGACCTTGAAATTAGAACTGGACTGTTGGAAAGCAGGAAAGCTTAACACTTTGATGGAAATAACCATTCCCAGGGACGTACTGCTGTTAGGACGGGGTGCGGGAGCAGTGGTGGTTCCTTCCAAACCTCCCCGACACACAGATCCTGGGGGAGCTGGGCAAATGCTGTGCCACAGCCTTCAGCTATCATCGATGACCTCACAAGGAGAGCTGTGAACATCTGGGAAAAGGAGCCTGCCTGAAAGAAAACTCTTCTCTCTCCCACACCCCTCCTGTGCGGTGCGTTGTCACTCTTGAAAACGTGCCCGGAACTTAGGAACCTTAAGGAGGACTTAATTAAAGGCGATGGAGAGATGGCACCACCAGGAGAACTCTGTTGGTCCTCATCCATCTGTTGTTCTAGGCCTTCACAATCTTTAGCACACCTCTTTGACTTATTGTAACGGAGAAGTCGCCCTTCAAACCAGAGTGTGAATTGAGGCCATTTGAGGTTGGAAGCGTAGTTGAAAGCAATGCTTTTTACTTGGCTGTATCACTGCCCTATAGCCCTGTAGAGCCAGAAGGAGAAGGAGAAAATGTTGTAACCCTTTAGTCTGTAAGATCGTGATGGAAGTTCCTAAATGATTACAGGACAGAGGGTTTCGTCTGTAAAGAAGTCCTCAAATCCCATCTTCCAATAACTAGCAAGGCATCCATTGGAGTGAGGCTTTTGCTGCCTTCTGTTGAGAGGCACTATCAGTTAGCTCGAACAATAAGGTAACTTACTGTTTCCTGAACAAAGACATCCAGAGGCAGGCTGGCCCGGGATGCATTCAAGAACCCAATTTTGTTGGAGTTTTCTTCCCTTGGCACTACCATCTTGCTTTTGTTCAGGCTTTTGTCTCATTTTTGCAAGGTGGCCACCACAGATCCAGGCATCATATGCCAATACAGTCATGTTCAAAGGCAAGAGGTGGATGGTTCCTGGTTTTTGTTGTTGTTGTTTATTTGTCTATTTTTAAGTGATGAGAAAAAGAGTACATTTTAGAGACTTCATCAGACTTCAAATGTCATTGACCAAAAGTAGCTACTCTTAAATGCAAGGACAATTGATAAAGAAAACATTGGCCTTTGTTAACCTCAAAATGTTAGAAGATACAGACCAGGGAGAAAGGTGTGTGAGTGTCTGTGGGTAGCTAGCCAGGAGTGGCCGTCCTACCAGCAGATTTGTTTCCCATTGAGTGTCGTCACTACATCAACTTCCATGAACAGGTGTCCACACTAAACTACATCATCCTAAAATCATTCAGGTTGCTTGCTTGCCATATCTTTGGGTCTGAATTGCTCTGCCAATCTGTTTCTCCCTTTTCCAAACCATGGCACCACCCTGCCTTAGACAGTGAAACAGTTGCCAACGTGCCCTCACTGTCCCCATTATACATTCCCTCTCCACCATCCCACAGAAAGAGTCATCCTCATGGACTACAGCTCCAGTCATGCCATGACCCTGCTCAGATCCTGTATTTGACGTCTATAGCTAACCTGAAGTGACTTGAGAGCCAGTCCTACATTAAATGTCTGGCTTAGCATCGCCTTATGAAGGACTGTTGAGTGAACGATATACAAGGTCACTTTGAAAAGTTCATGGAAAATAGAATTAAAAGGTGTTTATTATTTGAAATCCATTCATAGATTTCCTTATGTTGTACATTTTCCATAACCTAATTTTGAAGACTCTTCATATACATGGGTTTCAAAATTCTTAGCACCAAAATAAACTACCTTTTTTTTTTTTTGGACAGGCAGAGTGGACAGTGAGAGAGAGAGAGAAAGGTCTTCCTTTGCCGTTGGTTCACCCTCCAATGGCCGCCACAGCTGGCGCACCGCGCTGATCCGAAGGCAGGAGCCAGGAGCTTCTCCTGGTCTCCCATGGGGTGCAGGGCCCAAGCACTTGGGCCATCCTCCACTGCACTCCCGGGCCATAGCAGAGAGCTGGCCTGGAAGAGGGGCAACCGGGACAGAATCCGGCGCCCTGACCAGGACTAGAACCCAGTGTGCCGGCACCGCAAGGCAGAGGATTAGCCTAGTGAGCCGCAGCGCCGGCCATAAACTACCTTCTAATTCCACTTTTCCATGAACCTTTAGAAGGCCCCTTGTATTTATCTGCTGTGCGTTTACTCTAACAAGACTCTCCCTACTTTAAATTATAATATTAACAAAACATTCTTTTTATTAAAAAAAGTGGTTTTTTTTCTTATGATGAGGAATGCAAAGCTTTGAGTTAATTAAAACTCTGGTTATTCCAAACCCAGCTCAACAGTTGGAAGTTTTGAGTCTGCTTCCCCAAAGCATGATGGTTCACCCATATTGTTAGGACCCTGGCCTCTTGTTTTTGGCACGTGTTCTGCAGAAAATGTTAATGCTGTTCTCTGAACCTCTCAACTATGGAAGAGGCAAGCATCACAGATTGTGAGCCTGGCCCATTATGTTCTGTTTCCTTCGAAGTCCAGCGGAGAGAACGCAATCCTCAGTGGTCACTGTCTCTTAGCCCAGCAAGGAGAGACCCAGCCTCGCATCAGCTACCAGCAGCACAGCTCGTGTTAAGATGATTTTGCTCTGAATTCCATTAAATGACCTTGATTCACTTACTCCTGTAGCAGGGTTGGTTCCCAGCTGGGTGCCCCCTCTGCTGTGCAGTGGGGGATGCTCACTTGTGTGACTGAGCACCTTGCACTCTGAGCACAGGAAGAGCCCGAGCACAGTGTTGGGTGAAGTCAACAGAACAACTTTGTGCTTCTGATTTTGCTTCTGATTCTCTTAGCACTAGAGATGGAAAAAAAAAATCCACTCTCCAGCACGCTTATTTGGGGGCATAGAAGGGTTTCAGAAGCAAAAGCCCTTAATCTTGCACTAACCTTTCTTCTCTTGTCTTCCTTTTCAGTGTGACAGCGACAGTGACCAGGAAGAGAAGGTAAGATTCCCCCCATCACGAGCACAGCACAGATCGAACTGCAAACACTCTGGTCCTCCTGTGCACGGTGGCAGGGTGAGATGCCACTTCATGTTGACAGTGCTTTTTCTCTTCCGGAAAGATGAGTGTTATTCACACAGTGACATTTCCTGTGATAAGATAGAATATGTTTGATTTGTGAGATGCACTTTTTTTTTTTAAACAAACCCTTTAATATCACAGATATGTGACACTGATTTTTCTCTTTATAGAGGATGATTTAGAGATCCAAAAAGCATTTTTTAAAAAAGACATTATTGTAATAGGCATCCGATTTCTTAAAATCCGTGATGGGTACATTAAACTTGCCAGTCCGTGTTTACAATGTCATTTATGCCTTCCTTTTCCTGACCCATATGCCTGCTCCTGCTTTTCTGTACCTATTGGTCTTCTTAATAGAAATGGTAATGGTGTCTGACCATGGGGTGGCGGGTGGGCAGGGGAGGGCACATGGCAGTTGCTCTCATTGGTGGGAGGGCAGTCCTTTCAACAGGTGCATGCTCTATTGTGAGGCTGCTGGCCACCAGCCTCCTACTTCCACTTCAACACGGATCAACAAAATGGAACTCAGGTTTTGAGCTTCCGGAAGACTGGATCACAACCCGGTGAAGTAAACTTTGTGCTGCCTAAAGCAAAGCGATCCTTTGTCTGTCTGGGCTGTCTGTCTAGCTGCCCCAACGTCCAGGCCAAATTTCTTCTCATTTTCACTGATGTGTTTTGTATTTTGAAAAGAGTGACCAGAATGTCATGGTTGCTGCATTAGGTGTGACGCCCAGAAGGTGGACTAGCCCTCCCTTCCCCCACTCCCGGGCCATCCTTGGCCCTGTTCTTTGACTTCCAGCTCATCCGCGCTTGCAGACTGTACTCAGAATCCTGCTGTTAGTGTTTAGTGGGATCTTCCCACCAAGCCCAGAATTTTCTCCTCCTTTTCTGCCGCCAGCCTCCGAGAGAGATCTAAAGGCTCTTGTTCCGTTCCGTTGTTAATTTGAATTCAGCATATGTAGCCCGTTATAAAATGCGAGACATCATCATTTGAGCAGGTCAAGCATATTCAGATGAAGACAAATGGTGCTTATTTGATTTCCTTAAAATCAGGAAATGAAAAAAGTGCTCTCTGGAGAAATCATGTTCTGCCTGAGTTGGATGATAGACCAATGCATGTCCCCCAGATAAGAACAGGCTCTCGCCTTGAGGTTTTTATCTCTGAAGGACGGCGGGGACTGTCAGCTTGCTGACATGTGCATTATCCATGTCATTTTAAACAAAGTGACCTATGGAAGGGTGCGCTGTGCTGTGACATGGTAATGGGCTGTTGGATGACAGCGAAAGTACACACTGAAAAAGGGGGCTGTGGATTATTCTTTTGTTTAACTGACAAGTAGGAGCTTTCTTCCTCCAGTCCCTGCGAGGCTTAGTTCCTTGGAAGTAGGACCCCTGGTGTCTCCGGCAGCCAGTGTGCAGGAGGTACCAGGGACAGAAGGTCAGCAGTGATGGGACTGAAGGTGTGGTCACTGCACACTCCAGCCCCCCAGGCTCCTTCAGCAGTCATCAGCTCATTCTGTCAGGCATAGTTAACCCCCCTGGAGGGACTGGTGACTTCTCTCCATTCCAAGACATACACAGGCAATGGATGACCTCACTTCCAAGTCTGTGGCACTTCCTCAAGAGGTTGGGCCTTATTTGGGATTTCCAAACCAAGCAGACGTTCTTTATTGAAAAGTCAATATTAATTCCAGAAGCATCTGCAGCCTTCAGCAGGTAGGAGGTGCTCAGGATGCCAAGTTCTGCATTGCTTGTGAGCATCTTGATCAGTGGTTCCAACCATGGCTGCACACCCAGATTGCCTGGGGAAGCAGAGACAGATCCCAGTGCATGGCCCTCATCCCAGGTCAGGTCCCTCAGAGTCCTGGGGATATCTACTAGCTGGTCACCCAACTCTGGTAATTTCTAGAATTAAGCTGCCTGCCAGTGGTTGTCAGAGGGATCTGGGGCCAAGGTGCTTCCTGCAGGTGGAGAGCACCCTGGGGTAGCCATAGAGCATCAGACAGAGCAGTGGGGGGTGAGGAGGTCTCCCACTCCCCCACTCAGAGCTTGAGATGATTTCAGGGGAAAAAGGAGACTCAGTAGGAGCGTGGAGGGAAGTCCAGGGGAGTGGAGGTGGCGGGCAGGAACCATCGAATGCTTGGCGTGCTTCCTGCCCGGGCCCCCGCTCGTTTTTCCTTGGGACTGTGGTGGAGCCGCACCACGGCCGAGCACTCCCATCATCGGTCCCTGCCCTGCCATGCAGCGCTTCTCCAGGGGCTCCCCGGCAGGAGCAATCAGGCCTCTATAATTGCAGCCGTGCCTGCACGGCCCTGTTGTAGTTAGGACTGTCAGGCAGCCCCCTTTCTGGGCTGCGATTGTCTGGTGTTTATCAGCGGCTTTACACCATCCTCCCAGACCTGGGCTCTGTCAGAGCCTGGCCCCTGCCAACCTCCTCTGCGCTCCAGCCCCTCGCCCGCGCCCTCTCAGAGCCCCAGCCAACAGGGCTGCTTTCATGTGGTGCTTGGAGGATTCGCCTTCCAATCTGAATTGCTAATGGAGGAAAAGATGCCACTCAGTGTCCTGGGATCCCCTCAGCCAGCCCCACCAGGGATGCTGTTGGAGGCAAAAGTGAGACTTGTAGGAGACCCACAGGGATTTCTCTCCGGAAGACCTGTCATTCTGTTACTCCGTGGGGATCTGCAGAACCGGTGGTCTAAAATTAGGGAACCGTATTTCCCACAGCTGACTGAATTAAGATAAACTCTGCTTTCCTCTGATACGAAGCTGTAATTTATCAAATGATACCCTTACTAATTAATGTGGAAGTGACTAGGAAAGGGGCTTTAAAAAGCAGAGCTTCCCCTAAATGCAGGAGACATCCTTGTGCTGGCAAAGGCTTTGATGAGGCGCTGAGCGGAGCATCTCCCCGCGGCTCCCCCCGCAGCCCTGTGAATACATTTCACTTTATGTCAGGAACCGGGAGCACTTGGATGAGGAGTGGAAATTGGGCGGGGAATTAGAGAAGACTGTTAACACTGTGCACCTCAGACGTGGGGTTTTCCTCATTGTCAGGAGAGCAAAGAGAAGAAGGTGCACTTGGCACCTTAATCACCCAAATTAAGCAATTATTCCAGTCTCCTCCTTGCAGTGAATTGGTAGCAGAAGAACAAAGAGGCAACATGCGTATTTCCACATATTTGGCCTCTATTTTGTTTTGTTTCTTTCTTTCTCTATCACTGGCAATAGCCCACTATGCTAAGACACACTCTTATTTGGCTATGAAGTTAATGTGGACATTAAAGGTAGTAGCTCTCTATCGACTCACTTCCTTTTTCCTTTTACATGTGCCATGTAACAGAGCTGATTGGAGGGTGGATGGCCCAGCGGTCATGCACTTGGCCTTGGTGTCTGATGGCCTAGCCTTCTTTCTGACTCTGTCCCTTACCACTTTGCTGCAGTAAGCAAGCCTCAGTTTTCTCGCCTTCCAAATGGAGGCAACAAGAGCCCTAATCATTTCTTGTAACAAACAAAGGCACTCAGTTTGGTGTCTGGTCCGTGGTGAGTACTGTAAATGTTCATTTCTGTTGATTGTACTTGGGATGAGGTGAGAGAAAATCAACTGGGGAGAGAGCAAGGGCACTTACATCCTGATACAGGCCAAGAGGTAGTGTTGTTAAATTTTTAAGGGTCCTGAGACCATGTGTTCCGAGCCACTTTTGCAACTGGCAGGCTTTCCTTCGAGCATAACCTAGAGCCCAAGGACAAGGGTGCTGTCCCGGGAGGACTGGGTGGTGTATTAGGTGGGTTGTGTAGTGCTTGTGCCCCTAGCAGCCATTACCATGTGCCAACTACTCTCGGTTCCCGTCACAGGAGAGAGGTTCTGAGTCAGGATTTCTCGGATGGGGTCAAAGCACCTGTATTTTTAAAAATACAACCTCAGTCATTTGGCACCCAGCTGGTCTTGAGAACTACTGCCTTATAGAAGACAGACATCTCAGGGAAATATTTTCTTCTGCCACGTTTAACGCTCTTGAGACAAAGACTTTGGGAGCTGTAGAGATGTTGCATGTGCCACAGGCGCTTGCGTATGCAGATATCTGGTATAAGCACACAGTATGCACCTATGAAGTCTCTTCACAGAAATTCTTCTCCCTTCCCTAAGCAAGCCTTCTGCATGACTCATGGGTGCACTTGTCCCTCTCAGGGCTGCTCACGGTCAAAGTGACCACCGGAGAAGGTTGTGTTCCTGACTTGGCTCACTATTACCTAGCACAGCTGCTGGGACAGTGGCTAAGTGTCAATGCAAAGCCACTGATTTTCTACACCCTCTCTCCCCACATGCACACACCTTTTAGTGCATTCTTAAATTTTTTTTTTTGACAGGCAGAGTGGACAGTGAGAGAGAGAGACAGAGAGAAAGGTCTTCCTTTGCTGTTGGTTCACCCTCCAATGGCCGCCACAGCCGGCGCGCTGCGGCCGGCGCACCGAGCTGCCGATGGCAGGAGCCAGGTGCTTCTCCTGGTCTCCCATGGGGTGCAGGGCCCAAGCACTTGGGCCATCCTCCACTGCACTCCCGGGCCACAGCAGAGAGCTGGCCTGGAAGAGGGGCAACCGGGACAGAATCTGGTGCCCCGATCAGGACTAGAACCCGGTGTACCGGCGCCGCAAGGCGGAGGATTAGCCTAGTAAGCCGCGGCGCCGGCCCGCATTCTTAATTTTTAATTAAAGCTGCAACTTTGTTATTTTGATCATTTTCTGTTCACTTGTGTGGGCACAGGGCAGCGTCTAAGGAAAGCAGCAAAGAAAACCAGCAGAGGCTTATATTCCTAACTCAACACAAACCACATGTCTAACTTGGCTCCTGATGGACCCAGAAAGTGCTGAGATGTCAAACTGAAGACAGGACTTGTGGCCTGTGCTTAGAGTGGTAGAACTCC